TCGTTATATTAAGGAATACCAACAGTGATGGAATGGATTAGGAATATTGTCTTTTTTTTTTTAAGTACATTTTTTAAATGCAGTTTTTGTTTCAATATGCATAAAATAATTAATCATACAGTTTAACTGTAGTAAGTGATTAAATTTAATTCTTACACAGCTCGTCTACAATTTTAAACCACAAAAAATAAATAAAGGTATGAGGTATCAACGACATACTGTTCAAATAATTACTTATTACATTTATATTCAACAACTGTTTTAATGTACTGTACTATAAACGTTTCCAAAATTAGTTTATCAAGATTGATTGATCAAAACCGCTAGAGGGTTTATATTCTGCTGATTATAAAGCTTTCCCACAGAAATAGATTTTCGAAGTTATCATACACATTTAAATGATTCCCGCCACAATTAGTTTTATTGTTTTGTTAGTTAGTTAGTTAGTTAGTTAGTTAGTTAGTTAGTTAGTTAGTTAGTTAGTTAGTTAGTTAGTTAGTTAGTTAGTTAGTTAGTTAGTTAGTTAGTTAGTTAGTTAGTTGGGTTATCCTCGTTGGACTCCGGACATGTCCATAGGTGCTCAGATCCTCCCCTCAGTATGAACCCCAGCGTCCGATGGCTAATAGTACCAGTTCTATGTTGATTAACAAGTCTTCTGGCGTGTCTGGTGTCTGCTTTTGTTATTATTTGTTAACTAAAGTGTGTGAGTGTGTGTGTGTGTGTGTGTGTGTGTGTTGCGTGTGTGCGGGCGTGTGTGTGTGTTCATCTGTGTGTATGTGTGTTGACAATGGGTTGCAGCGTTTAAAAATATTTTAACAATATCAGTAGTCGGCGTATGTGGCTTATGCGTTGCGAACTGGTTTCGTAATGCCGGAATGCCGGGTTCTATCTCAGCTGCGGACTGTTTGTCTTGCGTTGGCTTCGACAGTAGTACCATGATCTGACCGCTCGGAAACAATGGCAAACTACTAAAGGTAAAGTGTGCACAAAAAGAAAAGAAAATGCTGAAGTTGATTCTGCAACGTTCTGTAAAGTATACACAAGTGACATTATATCAGTTACTATTCGAAATAGAAAATTAATCTTGGCTTCTAAATCTACTCACACATACAAGACAGAACATTGTCAACATATGCCTACTCTTTGTGTGTCTGGCTGCCTGTCTGTTTCTCTTTCTCAGTTTTAAATATTTAGTAGTATTTCGTTTTTCTACAAACCTTCAGATTTAAATAAACCTTTTGGTATACTGAATTTGTGAAACTGGTATAGTTTGTCAACATCTCGCTTTGTTTCCGATATATTTCATCTTTAGATTGCCATTAGCTGTTTATTGCCTCAATTTACACTAGTGGTAGTAGTATTAGTAGTAGTAGTAGTATTAGTAGTAGTAGTAGTAGTAGTAGTAGTAGTAGTAGTAGTAGTAGTAGTAGTAGTAGTAGTAGTAGTAGTAGTAGTAGTAGTAGTAGTAGTAGTAGTAGTAGTAGTAGTAGTAGTAGTAGTAGTAGTAGTAGTTGTTGTTGTTGTTGTTGTTGTTGTAGATAAAGAAAAATAAAAAGATAAAGAAATCGAAGAAGAAGAAGAAGTAGAAGAAGAAGAAGAAGAAGAAGAAGAAGAAGAAGAAGAAGAAGAAGAAGAAGAAGAAGAAGAAGAAGAAGAAGAAGAAGAAGAAGAAGAAGAAGAAGAAGAAGAAGAAGAAGAAGAAGAAGAAGAAGAAGAAGAAGAAGAAGAAGAAGAAAAAGAAGAAGAAGAAGGACAAGAAGAACAAGAAGAACAAGAAGAACAAGAAGAACGAGAAGAAAAAGAAAAAGAACAAGAAGAACAAGAACAAGAAGAACAAGAACAAAAATAACACGGAGAAGAAAAACAAGAAGAAGATGATGACAATCATCATGAGGATCATGATGATGATGATGAAGAAAAAGAAGGAGACACAGGAGAAGAAGAAGATGATGATAATTAAGGTGATGATGACGATGCAGAAGCAAAAGAAAGAGGAGGATACAGATTAGCAGGAGAAGTATGACGTTATATATGTGTATTCAGTGTTAAACATAAATAATTAATTCAAATATACATGACACGTACCAAGTCAGGAACAATAAATCATTCCTTTCCTGCTCCCAGGCTCCAGAGAAATATTTTACTTCAAGAAGTCTAGAAATGTTTGACCTATGACAGACAACTGGCTCAGCCTAAGGCTGGCGCTGGGGTTGTCCCGGCACAGAGCTTCGGGTGAGGGATTGGCTGTGAAATCTGTGAATGCTGGTCACTGGCACGGTTTAATGTCCCTAATTGGGCTGCTCGAGTCATTACCGGTTCCATCTTTTTACGGGCATAAGTTTAAGATCTTTTAGAAAATATGCTTGTCTTAGAGTCTTCTATTTTATTTTTGCCTACTCTCACATGGGACAGAAAATTATTGCGTCCTTAAGTGTGTACATGAGTCTCGAAACTATAGTGGTTAGACGCGTGACTACCGGCTCTCAAGTCCTGGGTTCGAATCAATATCGGTGCAATGTAATATCATCGATTTGGGTTCCGTTTTCGAACCGGGATTTTAAAAAAAGTACTTGGAAATGACCTAGAACGACATGAGACTGTTTGACCAGAGTATGCACTGAGTGTCCATTAGGTTTTTAAAATATATGTCTAACACTATGAGCCCGACGCAACGCAACGTCTTTAGTGTTTTCTAACCTTTCTTAAAAATTTTATGTTTTTGTAAATTAAAAAAACATTTCTCTTGCTCGTGATTTGCACTATTTGTCTTGCATTATTTGTAATTTCTTTCTTTATTCGTCAAATATCTGCTTTGCGCCCTAGGAGTCGCAGTTAAACAGTTAAATGGTAACCGAGTTATCGCGCTCAGTTGACTGTTGTACTGTGATTGTTTGAAGTCTTAGCAGGTAATGACTCCGTCAATCTTTATTTTCTAAGTCGCCGCCTGCTTATTGAAAGTTCCCATTCTCATTTTGAAAGTTATACCTGCAGGAATCGTTGAGTTTATTCTCCCCAGCTGATGTTAATTTGTTTCATCTCTCAAATTTTGTTATTCATTTTTAAAAATATTGTTCAGTATTTTAGTGCTGGTGTTTTCGTTCATTCAGTCTTCAAAACTTTCCTTGCGTGTTTGTCTAATGATCCCTCCCCAACACCTTATCCCTTACACCTAGCCAACACATTTAACTCGTACATAATGTAACTGTATTCACCAAGTTAGAAATGTAGGGTAACAAACAGCCGAGTACCAAAAAAAAAAAAAAAAATGAGATACAGTTATCTGTAATCGTTTCAACGAGTTGACACTATTAAATCTGTTGTTTCTTTATCAAGATAAATTAGCCCCAATTTTTCAGATTTCCGTTGTCTTTACAGGTTCAAAGAGTGAACATTGTATCTATAAAAGACGACATCCATCATGGCTGCCAGCCTGATGTACGAGGCTCCGAGTCCGGCAGATAACATGTCACGTGTCAGGATTGCTCCAGAACTCGAGGCTCTTTGCTCCAACACGTCAACGGCGGCCTCTCCAGCATGTGATCGCTCTGCCCAAGGGATAAGTCTCTCAACGCCCATTCTCATGATGACCTTTGGCGTAGTGGGCAACGTGTTGGCCTTGATTGTTTTGTACTCGTCTCGAAGAGAGGTGGGTACATTGTGATTGCACTCTACACTTGATTCTCCGCACTTGTGTTTTAATATGATAATTCACATCTGTTTTCTGCTTCCATGGGGCTCTGTGGTTTAGAGGCTAGTTAGTCGTAAGTCAAGTTCCACCTTCACAGCAAACGTGTCAACATATAACTCGTCAGTTTCTGTTGAAATCATACAGTATGCCCTTCGCTGTTTGGATTGAAAACTAGTGAAAAAAAAAAAAACATCATTCTCAGCGAAATCTAGACACTCGCACACGCAGTGTAAATGTATCAGGCAGCCACCAGTTTTGCTAATTGTAACTACCAGTACCCCATCAGAGTTACATCTCATTGTTGAGGGATTATTTCTCTCTGTTCGGCGCAGGCAACAGTTAATAATTCTTGTAGCTTATCAGTAATTGTTTAGTTATTCTGCACTGCGCTACTGTGATAGCCTCAACAGTTACCAAGTATTTCTTCTTCTTCTTCTTCTTCTTCTTCTTCATCTTCTTCTTCTTCTTCTTCTTCTTCTTCTTCTTCTTCTTCTTCTTCTTCTTCTTCTTCTTCTTCTTCTTCTTCTTCTTCTTCTTCTTCTTCTTCTTCTTCTTCTTCTTCTTCGCCTTCTTCTTCTTCTTTTTTTTGCGTTCCGTTTCGTAAGCGCAGATCAGACCATCAGGTGGGTTGCCTCTATGAACTTGCATGTTAATAGCAGGTCCTTCATGTTTCCCATAGTTTGCTCTGCACACTTTGCTCTTAAGGCCAGGTGTCTTTTCGAAGTTGTAGGTTAAGTGGGCAGGTCTGCAGAATGTGCTGAGGTGTTTGTGGTCCTGCTTGACAGGCACACTGTGGTGACTTTACAGTCTTTATTGTATGCATGTGGTAGTTGAGCCTGCAGTGCCCTGTTCGTTGAAGAAAAATTCTTGTGTGTTGCTTTCTGTTAAGTCTGCTAATGTGGTCTTGTGGACGTGAACTGTTAGTTTGTTCTCTCCACAGTTCTTTGTATTTTTCTTTGATAAGAGTTCTGGTAATGACAATGACAACATTCCATATTTTTGTAAGTCTGTTTGCTAACTCATTTCATGGTATGCCGCCGACCCAGTATATGTTGTAAACAAATAGTGGTCAAAACGTCAAGCAATACACTTATACAACCAGGAAGAAGTTAGACAAAGCTGACGTTAACCACGTCATTTCCCAGGTGCCAACTGAAAAAAACTAACATGTGTCTATAACCACATGCGAGTCGTGCGACCGGCTGAAAATAGTGCTTGGTTTAAATAGTACATTGTTCTTGTTCCAGCCTGCTTATAACTGTCTATTTTCAACCTATTTCAGGCACACGCGAGAAGAACTGTCTTCTTCGTCATGTTATCAGGATTAGCGTGGACAGATCTGATTGGTCAGTTTGCAGTCAGTCCAATAGCAATCATCGCCTATGCCAACAACCTACGCTGGATAGGAGGTACCGAGCTGTGCCGCTACCACGGCTTCATGATGGTCTCCTTCGGGCTCGTGATGCCACTCATTGTATGCTGCATGTCTGTAGAACGACTACTGGCAATCAAGTTCTCCTATTACTATGCTAAACATGTAACTAGACGAAAAGCCCAGTGCACGTTTCTGGGCTGCTGGTGTGTCACGACTTTGTTCTCCGCCTTACCCTTTCTTGGATTCGGCAGCTACGAGCTCCAGTTTCCCCGTACGTGGTGTTTTCTGAATTTTCACCGGGAGAGTAAAGTGGACAGCATTTACGCAGCATTGTTCGGCAGTTTTAATATTATTGCTATTATTATCATGATATTATGTAACCTCATAGTGGCGGGAACGTTGTTCAGCATGAGAAGGAGCCGCCAGTTGAATAGTTCGCCATCTGTGGACAGGAGGTTGTCCACTTCCGGGCTAGCCTCTACTGCTTCCGGTACAATTTTTCGTACCAGACGACATTCGGACATGGAAGCTCAGATGATCTGGTTCCTCTGTCTGATCACTGTAGCCTTCAGTGTCTGTTGGCTGCCGCTCAATGTGAGTTGTTTGTGATTTTCTTTCAGCTTTATGTAATTAATGTTAATTATTTGTAATTATACATACGTTTTACTTGTACACTTTGATTTTTTTTTTTACGACGTCTAAACCATTGTTTTACTGCTGAAAATTAAAAAAAAAAAAACATTATGCCCAAGCGTGCACACACATACACAGGCACTCATATATATATATATATATATATATATATATATATATATATATATATATATATATATATATATATATATATATATATTAGGGCTGTACCGAATAGTGATTTTCACTATTCGGCCGAATACGAATAGATGGACCAACTATTCGGCCGAATACGAATACGAATAGTGAATCATCATCAGGTGCGTTGCCGACGTTGCCGACTGGCATGGGCGATTATGCCTCGCCACAATCTGCGATCTCCTGCAGCATGTTTTAGTTCGTGTGCTGACACACCTCCATGCCATGCAACAGGATGGTCAAGAATCTTCTCTCGCTGTCTTCCTCTATCCCTCCTTCCACATATCTTTCTAGTGGTCACCACATATTCCATTTTCCCTCATCTTATAACATGGACGAAAAATGATGACTGTCTCCTTCTGATATCTGTGAGTAGTTGTCTTCGGACTCACGCCTCTTTCAAAACCTCTTGGTTGCTTTTTTTTTTTTTTTTGGGGGGGGGGGGGGGGGGCTGTCCAAGGTATTTTAAGCATTGTTCTGTAAAACCACATCTCTGAGGCCTCAAGAAATTGTTTGGCCTCCCTACCGATTATTCAGGACTCACAGCCATATGTTAAAACTGGATGTATGTAGCAAGCAAGAATTTATTTTCTAACCTTCAGTGACAAAGTTATATTGCATAAGATGTTCTTCATTGTATATAATATACAGTTTTTGCCTGTCCTATTCTGATGTTATCCATGTGTCCAGATACTTGAATGTATGTATTTGTCTCAAAATAAAACCCTTTACTTTTATTACACATATAGAAATAATTATTTTCTTTGATACCACCAATAGTTCTGTCTTCCCACTATTCAGACTGAGGCCTATTCTTCCACTTTCGAATAGTGTATAAAATAAATCTAAAAAAAAAAAAAAAAAAAAACGTATTGTCAAATGTATGCTGAAATTTTACTTCACAAAATGTAATACAGAAAATAGTAATTATTTAAAAACATTTCATGTTCTGCATCCTTCAGTCAGTCAGTCTTTGGTAACTAATACTTAAGAATGAAAGTATTCTTAGTTTTATAACAATCGTGGGCCGAAACACTTGTCGACGAGGATAACTTCTACTGATGACTGGTAGATCCCTGCTGTACTTGCTCCCTGTGAGTTTATTCCTATTGTACGTGGCTAGCCCACAAGACTACCATGAAAGAATGGTGACTCTCGGGAAAGAACTTGTGACACCTATGGAAAGACTGGCCCCCCGGTATCGCCGGGGGGATAAACTGACATCTGGAGACAGATGTCGACTGTGGACCGGGTTGATCACCCCTAACACAGTATAATACCTCCGATTGCGTTAACCAATATAGAAATATGCCCCAGGGCCCTCCGAAAAGGGGGCGGGGGGGGGGAATGAAGGGCCCAATCAAATTGATACTCTCGGTGACGACAATGCTAGCCCCCGGACTCAGATACTCGCCTAAAGTCCGGGCTGGCTCTGTACATGTGGAAAGAGCTTCACGGGGTTGCATGGTATGAGAACGCATGCCGGAAGAATGAAATGCGAGGGTGCTCCACGCAGTAAACGCCGTCGCAAAACTACTACTCCTATGGTAGTTTCTGAGTCGTCAGGGAACGACGGGGCAGGGTGAACCCCACTCGCCCGGAGAGGCCCATGACGTCGACTGCGGAGGAACACGTTTGATGATTTCTGAGGAAGTGCGTTCCAAGATTAGGTTTCCACCTGCGAGCGATAGAGTGGTGTGGTGTAAGTTGGAGAGTACATTGTGTGAGATACTTAAACATGATTTAAACAAGAAGTCGTTAGGCGACAAGCTTACAAAATTCGGTGATGTAATATATGAACACTGCTCCCGTGAGTTCGGGACAGTAGAAAAGGCACAGCCGGGTGCCAAGCAGTATACTAGCAGGAGGCAGAGGGACATTCTGAAGTGTCGGGCAGACAATAATGCCCTCAGAAAACGGTTCAAAGCTGCTACAGGGAGGGGCTGTATGAAGTCTGGTTGCATCTAAAGAACAGACACAGTGCCCTCTGTCGCGCTGAGCGTTTATGTGCCAACAGACGAAGAACCAAAAGGGAGCGAGAGATATTCTTTAGGGACCCGTATCAGTTTGCCCGAGGTCTATTCGAGCAACCGAAGTCTGGAACTCTGGTTGTCAGTCAGGAAGAGCTTGAGTCACATCTACGCAAGATGTACTCTGACAAAAAGAGGAGAGAGCCTCTCGATGACAATCCATGGATCCCTAGCGGCCTCAAGCAGCCTGCGTTGCCGAAGGTACCATTTAAAATGATACCTCCCCTTTGGTCTGAGGTTGAGGAAGTTGTGAAAAGGGCCAGCGGCAAATCTGCCCCAGGTCCGAATGGTGTTCCGTACGTTCTTTAAAAGCGTTGCCTGAAAATCCTAAAAATGCTTCACCTCTTGTTGAGACAAGCGTGGATCCGTAAACACATATGTCCAGAGTGGCAAAAGGCGAATGGGGTCTACATTCCCAAAGAGCAGGACTCGAAGAGTCTTTCCCAATTCAGGCCCATCTCGCTGTTGAATGTCAAGGGTAAGATATTCTTCTCGGTCATGGCTCGCCGGCTCACACAGTATCTGATGACTAACAAGTACATAGAAACGAGTGTTCAGAAGGGTGGTATTCCAGGCGTTCCTGGGTGCCTTGAACACGCGACCATGATTTGGGAGGCTATTCAGAGAGCCAAGCATGAGAGAACTCAATTGCACGTGATATGGTTAGACTTAGCCAACGCCTACGGGGCAGTTCCCCATAGGCTACTGTGGCGAGCCCTTCGCATGTTCCACGTACCGGCACAGGTCAATGATATGATCGAGCAATATTTCTCCAAATTCGTTTTGCGATTCTCTACCTCGACGTTTACCAAGAGATGGACTGAGCTGCAGATTGGGATAGCTATGGGGTGTACGATCTCACCAATACTGTTTGTCATGGCCATGCAGATCATGTTGGACGGGGCGGCCGGCTACGGACAGGGCCTTCAAATAGGGGATCACTGGATGCCTCCACTGCGTGCCTTTATGGATGACACGACTATTATAACGGGCAGCGAGGAGTCTGCCCGCACGATCCTGAAAAGTTTGGACGCGGTGGTCCAATGGAGCGGTATGCAGTTCAAATCGCAGAAGTCGAGGAGTCTGTCAATCCTTAAGGGTCGAGTGTCGGCAACCAGTTTTACGGTGGCAAGGAATAGGCTCCCCACGGTTCTGGATGAACCGGTGAAGAGCCTTGGTCGCGTTTACGATTCGAAGTTATCTGATAGAGCGGAGGCCCGGCGAATACACGAATCACTGGCTACAGGCCTGCTCGCGATCGAGCGTTGCAGGCTGGTCGGGAAGTTAAAGGCATGGTGTATTGTAAGCAGGCAAAGCTAGTACTCCCGTTTAAATCAATAACTGAAGAGTTTAAAGTTGGCAAGGTAAGACTCGCCATGCTCTTGCGCGAGTCTTCAGACCCAAATGTCATCTCTGTCCAGCCCGCTCTAAAGACTGGGCAGAAGTGGAGGGTCCTCGATGCGATTGAATCTGCGCAGAACGCACTAAAATTGAAGGAGATAATGGGATACACTCAAACCGACCATCGAGGCCTAGGGCACGGGAAGGTCAATTGGTGGTCAGAAGCCTCAGCCAAAGAACGCCGAGACATGGTAATACAAATGGTGAGGGACAACGAAAACGAGGTTCGGGTTCAGAAAGCGGACCAGCAGTCACAGCAGGGCCATTGGGTAGGCCTGGAGAGCGCATTGCCAAGAATACTCACATGGGGTGAGATCTGGCGAATGACCCCGCTGCGACTGAGCTTTATCGTTCTTTCGGCGTACGATGTATTACCATCCGGTGTAAATATGGTTAAGTGGTCTGCGACTAACGATCCGACTTGCCCGTTGTGCAAAGCGAAGCAGACTCTTGAGCACGTCCTGTCCGCGTGCAGGAAAGCCCTAGGCCAAGGCCGATACACCTGGCGACACAACAAGATGCTAAAAAAGTTAGCAGCCGTTGTTGACCAGGATAGAATGAGGGCTTCCGCTAGAGCCAGTTCTAGCATCGTCCCCATAGGTTTCCTCAGGGCTGGGCAGATTCCAAAAGTCAACCGAAACGCATTCGCTCCATCTGTGCTAGACTCTGCGAGGGACTGGTTACTGGCGGTTGATCTGCCGGGCCATGAAAGGTACCCCGAGTTAATCCGGAAGACCGGCCTGCGACCTGACATAGTTCTCCACTCTGCGGAGAAACGGCAGCTCATCCTGATTGAGTTGACCGTCCCGTATGAGTCGCGTATGGACGAGAGTCACACATATAAGCTAGAGAAATTTTGGTGACTTAGCAGTCGGTCTGAGGAGAAACGAGGCGTACACAGTACGGGTCTTTGCCGTCGAAGTGGGAGCGAGAGGCCTCGTTTCCACTTCGCTCTAAAATGTGGTTAAAGAACTAGGATTCCGCGATAATGAACGGAAACGAACACTCAAACGGCTGGGCGAGGCAGCCGAAAGGGCCTCGAGTTGTCTTTGGACGCAACGAAACAACGTAGGGGACGGGCCTCGGTGAGCTGGTCCAGGTTTCTAGTGGAAAAGGGTTTTTCACCCTTTGAAAGTCCATCGTGTCCGAATTGTCTGCCAGTGTTCCTCTGCAACCTGCTAACAAAAGTCCAATATGTGTCCGGTAAACCAATCGTAAGCTTGTCGCTCGGTCGTCCAGGTACGCTGACTGTTCTAATTAGGCTGCCGCGACGACTTCTTATCTCACAGTACCTTCTGCAAATCACCAAGTCGTCTTGTAGCTATCCGAAAG